GGGAGGGGGTTGTGGTGGTATATATAAAACAGTGTGGGGAGGGGGTTGTGGTGGTATATATAAAACAGTGTTGGGAGGGGGTTGTGGTGGTATACATAACACAGTGTAGGGAGGGGGTTGTGGTGGTATATATATAAAACAGTGTGGGGAGTGGGTTTGGTGGTATATATAAAACAGAGTGGGGAGGGGGTTTGGTGGTATACATAAAACAGTGTGGGGAGGGGGTTGTGGTGGTTAGATAAAACAGTGTGGGGAGGAGGTTTTGGTGGTATACATATAAAACAATGTGGGAAGGGGGTTTGGTGGTATACATAAAACAGTGTTGGGAGGGGTTGTGATGGTATAGATGAGAACGTAGGGGGAGGATGAGGTATGTTGGCGTTGAAGTATATATTAGGAGTCATTTTCGGGGCTCGATGTTCGGGCCTGTAACGCTTGTACACAACTTGAACTCTGTTTACACCTGATACAATGTACTCATTTAACGTCTACCATTAAGATAAGCAGACAATAAAAACATACCGGCACAAAGTAGTACCCATACAAGACTACAGCTCTGGCGAGTGACAGTACTTCCGGAAACCTGCCTCAGCTGGAGGGGAGCCTCGGCGGCAACCAATGATGGACTAGTCGTTACCCACACTAACTAAAACCACCCCAGAATGCGGGGGCAGCAGCAGGAATGTAATACATGTACCTCTAAGAACCGACTTAGGAAATAGTTCCAGATACTCAAATGCTACAAGGCAGATTTTTATTTTTTTAACAGAGACACACCATGTACTACATTAGTCCGTTTACCGAGATCCAGCATTGCTACATGGTTTTAATAAAGTTCAAAGTTGTAGTATATCCTTATTTGAAAAAAAAAAATACCTCGAGTGAGTTGAACATTGAAAAGTCCTGTAAAGTTCTGACAATGACTGTCAATTTTGTATAACTTGATAGAAACGTTTTTGCAGCAGATCGGACATTTTGTTTTGGCCTTGACGACCTACATCTGTCACAATCCATAACATTGAGAGTAATCCATACTTGAACATCTCAACCCTGCACATGAAAACATTTCAAACTTAAATAAATTATTAAAATATATGGAAATGAAACAGAAAATATAGTACTATAGGGTAAGTGCGAGTCAGTGTCAGGTTGGGCTGTACCCGGATAAGTATTAAAAAGCCTGACAGCTGATACATGGTACAATACCATTCGTTAAAGAAAGTGTCACTCAATTTTTTGGGGCTTAATACTTGTCGAAAGATGATAAAACAAGCAATTCCGTGGGTACTATCCTTTATAATGCAGAGAACTGCTATTAAAAGTGTTAAATCTACTTTTTTGATTGAATGACGTGATGTTTTGTAACTAATTACACAATTACTATTCTTGACACGCAGTGACGTCAGAGTCGATAAAAGTATACAGTTGACTTAAACAAACTCAAAATGATATAATCTTAAATGTCAAAATGTTTTTATCACAATCTCGTATATTTTTATCAAGATAAGGTTATCGCTGCGCCAGTATCTCCAGCTGCCGCTTTGCCCGTTACTAGGTACCGCTAGCAGACGATACACCAGCTTCCTGTTTCGCCGGCCTGAACCGGAACAGGTCAGTTTTTCATACGATATTGACCAGATTTTGAAGAATTAACCTTCGGGACGTACACTTGAGTTTAGGTATGAATTAATTGGTTTTTGTTTACTTACCTAACTACGACGGAGCTCTAATCCCATACACTAAAAGGAACCCAAATTGTACAACACAACTTCAGTCGGCCAAGACTTACAACCGACTACAGGCAGCCATAGGCTATCCAAAGGCAGATATTGCAAATATGCGAACAATCTGGTGAGGCGAAGAAATCTAATATCGCAGAACCCCTATCCTTATATGTAACAGATGGATGACGGCGGTGCTCACGTGAAATCCCCCAGTGCATCACTGATACTTCCCAAATAAAGATCCCCCATAGCCAATCGCTGTGCCTTGTAGAACAGGAGCGGGGATCCTCGCGCTCTCAACGTGCATCGTCTGCTTATATCACCCATAACATCGTATAACTGATATACATCAACGTTATACTTCTCTTCAAAGACGTCTGATCCGTGATATATAAAATCCGGTATCATATTGATGCAACAAAATTTGTTTCCATTAATATTTGTTGTTTGATATGCATCATTTGCAAAATGACGTAGAAGTTGTTTACAAAATATCAGTTTTCATATTTTATTCAATAAAATAATTTAGAGTGCTAGCTCTTATTTCGGTTTATTTAATATTAAAAACACTTTGTTCACTTATAAATGAAACCTTCTATAGTTGTGGCACCTACCTTCCTCGAAAAATCCCCTGTATGCCGGCTAACCTGACGTTGTCTGAGAATATAAAGTGTGAGGGGAGATTTCACCACCTGCCGAGACGTCACCGGAACAAATTACGATAGGCATTAAGCTTCGTGCTACACCGCATAAGTAAACACGCGTAAGCAGGTTCGTTCCGTTCTTGGTAATTGCGTACACGTGTAAGTTGTGATAAGTTTGTACACACATACATGTGTCAGTTGTTACAAGATTAGTATACCTATACAGATAGATTGATCGGTAATCACCGTTCTTATGTCAATCATTTACTTAAATGAATTACTATACCACTGCTATATAACACCAATACATGTTATATAACATTAATAAACAACACTGCAATAACACAGACAAGCCAAAACATGCATCATACTGTTCATAAAACCAATATAATAGTACACTGTTTATCATTTATGACATAAACCATAGATTTAGAAAATGCTATTTGTCGAAAACATGTCTTTTTTTAGTTCCATCAATCAGCTAACATGAATTTAATATTTACAGCCACGAACTTTTTCCTATTTGTTAAAAGCAGTATTTAAAAGAAAAATAAAGAAATGATGTCTCGTATCGAACTAAAAGTATCATAACTATTTTTTGTTGCAATTTGAACACTGACATTCTGACCTCTTTTTGAACATAGCAGATTCTCTTACCAGAATAAGTATATAAGATGCTGTTGTTATGAATCGTACTATATATATTTTTACAACTTGTTTAACCCTAAGAGAGCGTTGGGGTAGTCCTAACTAAAACCTAATGGATTGTAACAGTAAGCACAAGTGCACTTCTTCATATTGTTCTGACTACGTCACATAGATTCGCGAAAGCTTAGGAATTGTCCGGACAAACAAATGACTAATACAATACCTCCATAGTTTGGAGTTATTTTAAGTGAAGTTTCAATTCTGATGAAAAGTGATTATTTAATTCAAACTACAGCGATTTCAAAACATCAAGTTGTTTCAATATACGCTGTTTCGTCACTGTAACACTGGACCACTTTGCGGCATTATTTGCCTTAAGTGTCATCCGGGTCTTTGCCAATAGTACCGGCAAGTCTCAGGAAGAAGAAATTGGGGAAAAGTTGGACCTTATCACTCAAGTTTTGACTACGGTTGAAGCGAACCAGTGGGACTTCGAATGCCGTTTGATTTGTATGGAACGGAACCAGGCGATAGCTGTCTTTGGAGTTACACGAGGAAAGAGTATTTAAGGTCTCCATTTTTAGTTCACCTGAGCTTTAGCTCAAGTGAACTATTGCTATCCGTCTTCGTCCGTCGTCCGTCGTCCGTTAACATTTTACATTTCAAACTTAAAGTCAAGTTCTGCTGGGCCGATTGAACTGAAAGTTGGTAGGAATGATCGACTCATGGGCCTGACAAAGTGTTGTTACTTTTCGGGTCGATCAGAAATCCAATATGGCCGCCACGGCCGCCATTTTGAAAAACTATTTCAAACTTAAAGTCAAGTTCTGCTTGGCAGATTGAACTGAAACTTTGTAGGAATGATTGAATCATGGTCCTGACAAAGTGTTGTTATTTTTCGGGTCAATCAGAAATACAATTTGGCTGCCATTATACTTAACTATTTTTTACTCAAATTGGTACATATTTCAACAACAAAAATAAATACTGTAGGACTCAGGTGACCGTTAAGGCCCATAGGCCTCTTGTTGTTATATATATTTTTTTTACTTTGGGTTTTGATTTTGCCCTTATGACGTATATTCAGCAAAAAAAGAAAAGTTAACACTTCCCCTGCATACTACCTCTATATAAATGACAAGAGATCCCGGAGGGGTCTTGACTCCCACCATCGTAAGATCTTCATCAGCTCTGTATAAGCTATCGCTTCCCTTCTTTTCTCTCTAATTCAAACCATACTGCTGACCCATACCGAATTCTAGCTGTTATGTAATGTATGTGGGTCAAGCCTTCCTAACAAAACTAACAATCCTCTGGCCGCTGCATGCAGTATCTGACCCCCAGTCAGTGCACAGGAGCCATACGTAAGTAACGAGCTGCAGGATATACTAGTACACTGACCAACAGTCAATTACTTGGATTTTCATCATAACGACCAACTCAGAATGTAAGTATCTTTCTTGACAACAATTCAATGAAGTTTATGTAACCTTCATGTATGTAAATTTCAGACAATTAATGGTTTGATAGTTAGTTGCTAAAAGATACTATAGGTATCTGTTGACACAGATGTTCAAATTTGAACATGCATATGTTAATGAGTCAAATAATTAACATTAGTTTGGACATATTTATTTGTGTTGTCTTATATGTTTTATATATCTGTTAGTATACATTATTATATGTTTTATATATCTGTTAGTATACATTATTATATGTTTTATATATCTGTTAGTATACATTATTATATGTTTTATATATCTGTTAGTATACATTATTATATGTTTTATATATCTGTTAGTATACATTATTATATGTTTTATATATCTGTTAGTATACATTATTATATGTTTTATATATCTGTTAGTATACATTATTATATGTTTTATATATCTGTTAGTATACATTATTATATGTTTTATATATCTGTTAGTATACATTATTATATGTTTTATATATCTGTTAGTATACATTATTATATGTTTTATATATCTGTTAGTATACATTATTATATGTTTTATATATCTGTTAGTATACATTATTATATGTTTTATATATCTGTTAGTATACATTATTATATGTTTTATATATCTGTTAGTATACATTATTATATGTTTTATATATCTGTTAGTATACATTATTATATGTTTTATATATCTGTTAGTATACATTATTATATGTTTTATATATCTGTTAGTATACATTATTATATGTTTTATATATCTGTTAGTATACATTATTATATGTTTTATATATCTGTTAGTATACATTATTATATGTTTTATATATCTGTTAGTATACATTATTATATGTTTTATATATCTGTTAGTATACATTATTATATGTTTTATATATCTGTTAGTATACATTATTATATGTTTTATATATCTGTTAGTATACATTATTATATGTTTTATATATCTGTTAGTATACATTATTATATGTTTTATATATCTGTTAGTATACATTATTATATGTTTTATATATCTGTTAGTATACATTATTATATGTTTTATATATCTGTTAGTATACATTATTATATGTTTTATATATCTGTTAGTATACATTATTATATGTTTTATATATCTGTTAGTATACATTATTATATGTTTTATATATCTGTTAGTATACATTATTATATGTTTTATATATCTGTTAGTATACATTATTATATGTTTTATATATCTGTTAGTATACATTATTATATGTTTTATATATCTGTTAGTATACATTATTATATGTTTTATATATCTGTTAGTATACATTATTATATGTAATACTATGTAGGAGGTTGTGGGCAGCGAAAACTATCATGATCATATGACATGTCATGTGACGACAAGACAAAACGGCACCCTCCATAATATGCATATATTTTTTAAGTGTTGAGCTGATATTGCTAAACCGTTTTGCATTAATCTTTATGTAGAAGAGAAGGAGAACTAAATGGTTATTGGGTAAGACGGACTATATACAGCCATCAGTTTAATGGCGTGTAATGTCTGGTGTAAACATGCTGGGCAGGGGGTAGCCTGACCACTCCCTGGAATGTTTACACAACATCACCCCCCTGCTGTTCTTAGTGTTGATGGGTTGCTATTTCCCTAGGCTGGTGTGGTTATAGATGGAATTCCCCATGATTGTATTGATTGATAGATATTACATGTACATAGTATAACATAGACATATCTTGAAATGTTTATTGTTATTGTTTATATGTCAATTTATGTATTGGTTGGAATTCAAGTTTAAGTTAATCGTTGTTGTGCAGTTTCAAAATAGTTTTTGTATAAAGCAAATCTAAAAATGAATGACAAAACACTACATGTCATCAAATCTATTGATTTATTAAAATATTTACTAGCTTTTCAAAATAAACTTTGTTTCTTATAGAGGCCGTTCGACAAAGCAGACTGAACACCCTAAAAGGATAAGTTTGGCATCAACAGCGGCGAGCGGAAGGACACGGATGAAGAAAATCTTAATGCGAAAGTCAACTGGGAAGGACACGGACGACGACGACGACGACGACGACGACGACGACGACGAAGACGACGACTGAATGAATTTACATTGTAAAAATGGCAAATTAAAATTCTGATACTTTATACTGAAGTTGTTTATCATCTATTCTTCATTTTGAAAATATCTTTATTATTAGGGGCTACATTTAGATTCAATCCCGGACGACCAAATTCTGCATTCCAAACTTGCTATGCAACATGTAGAGACTTGATTAGACAAAATCCAACAATATATTATGAACGTTGGGCAAACGTTATAAGCAAATGGTAGACCAACGT